GGATAAAACCTAAACGATACCCATCCCTATTTATGCGTTGATGTTGACCACTCAAAGCTCCTTGAACTGCATGCTACATTCACACAGATCTTTATTCTATGCATTGGAGAAATTTAACTGCATTGCATAATTAGCTATGGTGATACTCGTGTCCATTTGATGTCTGTGAAAATCATAACTCCCAAGTTATGATGATGGAAAAAGAGCTTTTCAGGTTTGCAAGCATGAACTTGTGGATGGATCTTTACTGGTTTCCTGTAGTTTAAGTCTGCAGATCACTGAGGGTCTCTCAAGCAGTCCGCTGCTTCCTGGGCCTTCTCACCTCTGTCACCTGGCAGGCATGCTGCAGGCCAGCAGGGGTCTGCAGTTAATATTGAAAGATGGGTTTTAGACAGGCTAATCTGAACCTAGTGCTGGATTTGCAGACCCACTTCAGGGTCTGTTACATAGGTTTTTTTTTTTTTTCTACATACAATACAGGTTGAAAAGTGGGCTTCAACAGGAAGTTCACCGAGGGGGAAAATTACAGCACTAGATTGCAGCGAACTGAATTCTGTCATCTTACTCCTCCTGACTGAAGTATGTAGTCTGGCTACGGTGGCTGCTGTAGGACAAATAGCTTTGGCTGCCATCCATCTGTAGTGAGTGTCGGCTGCCAGTTTGCTGTTTACATCAACTGGTGTTTATTCACTCTGGAGGAGGCTGTAGAACGAGTGTGTGTAAGATCGGTCGATGAGTAAGAGAAGCTCTCTTCTGACCGATAACAGCGACACTGAGGTGAACTGTTGAGCTTACTCCTCTGTGGGTAAGCTCAGCCGGTGTTAGTGAAGTTGTGGAGTGGATCTAACATTGTTGGATGTGGACACTTGTAATTAGACATGAATGTTTTTTGTTTTGCTTTTTTTTTTTTTTAAAATAAACTCAGAAAATAACTGACTGCACCTTTAAAGATGAAAGAAGCACTAAGAGAAGTACAGGCAGCAGCTGCAGTGGAAAACTGATTATTTAAACCTCTGCTTCGCTTTGAAGCTGCTGAAGCCCACTTTGGTTGTTCTAAATATGTTGACACTGCCCCCTGGTGACAGTGCATAGCTACAACATGTAGCTGTAGCTTGGTGTGTAAGCTTTGGGTCAGATGAATTCACACCCATTCTGGCCACTAAACCCCACTCTGTCCATCTCCAGCTGTGGTTTTCCCCAAAAATGTATTTGGTGTAATTTGCTTAATCGAGCTTCACTGTTACTCAGCAGTTTATCCTAAGACAGATCTTTCTACTTCATTTTTTTTCTTTAATTAAAACTTTAAATTTGACACTTTCTGCTTTTCCTGCTTTACTTTTTTCTTATCTGCTGATCATACTGAATCTGACTGGTCGGGTGAACCTCTGTGACTTCCTGTCGTTGTCAGGGTGGATGTCGTGATCTGCCTCAGCACCACGGTGAGAAACGACACCCTGCAGGACGCCAAGGAGCAGCGAGTGTCTGTCAAGTGTCGTAAACAGCTGCGGGTGGAGGAGGTGGAGATGGTATGTTCTCTGACTCTCTGTCAAAGTCGGGCAGTGTAACGTCCTCAGGTTTGCTGTTGGTTAGCGAGAAACCGCCCAGAAACGTATGAAACAGCCCAACATGCTGTTAAAAGAAAATGATTTTAGAACCTTTATTTTTAGGCTAAGTACGTTTGGTTTTCTGTGAGTTTATAAAAGAGATTTAACCCGTGTTTGTAAAAACAGTTAAAATATATTTCTTTATCAGGACGCATGTGCAGATGGTTCCAGTTCACAGCAACAGCAGCTGCAGTTTTATAACACCTTTTTGTGCAGTTCACAGCACATCACACATGACTGACAAACCCAATAAGACACGAGAAAATGAACAAAAATGGATTAGAAGCAGTTAAAAAGAAATCAAATATAAAGTAATGCTTGGAAAAAGTGTTACGAAAAGAAAACGCTAATATATAATGATAGAAAACATGCAGCACGAAGACTTAAGAAGTCAAAATATTAAGATGGAATAACACTTGGATACCCTGATGTCAGTAGGTGCGTATTGAAATGTAAATAGAGTAAACTGAGATGAGCGGATCTAGTTTATGTTCCTTTCACTTTTCCAAGCCTGGAGTAAAAAGTAGCAGCAAACGGCATCGTCTAAGGTTCCTCCTGGGGGCATCTGGTGTTTTTTATCTTTTCCGGTGTGCTTCGTTGAAGCGAGCAGAGATCCTTCGTGTCTTTAAAGTTTTTATTTTGTGTCTGTTTCCTTTAAATTCTCCAAATCTGCCTCAAACGTCTGCAGTCAGAGGACATCCGTCTGGAACCGGAGCTGTACGACTCCTGCAAGACCGACATCGGCAGGCTGTGTCAGAACGTGGCCTTTGGGAATGCACAGGTCAACACACACACACACACACACACACACACACACACACACACACACACACACACACACACACACACACACTAGTTAATGAGTATGAAGGATCCTCCTGAGTTGAACCCAGAACGTTATTTTTGCCGTTCGCATCTCTTCTAATATAATTAAAAACAACCTGTAAACACTCTGTGGACCATGTTAGAACCAAACTTTAGCCGCCGCCACAGTGCAGACAAAAGTGTTTCCTTAACACTGAACGAATGAAGAAAGAGTCGGCAGCTTTAAAACCTAAAATAATTTTACTGCCAGTAGATTTTACCTGTAACTTTGTTGGGAAATCCGTAAAATGCAAAGTACGAATGTAAGGAGTTGAAGAAAAATTTTAAACAGTCTGAACTGTACAAAAAAGAATTTATTTATTCATTTATTTCTTTATTGGCTTCATCTCTGCAGGTTATCGAGTGTCTGAAGGAGAACAAGCGTAAGCTGAGTTCGCAATGCCACCAGAAGGTCTTCAAGCTGCAGGAGGTGGAGATGGTTGATTCTGAACTTGACTATCAGCTGATGAGAGTCTGCAAGAACATGATCAGAGTAAGCAAGAGAAGAAAAACAAGATCAGTTTCCTTCACTCTGAATTGTGGACATGAATCTTAGGATCAGGACTATTTCTTAGCGAGTAATTCAGACCATGTAGCAGCGTGTTAATGGCTAACCTTATGTTGTGGATGGATCATCTCAGACATTCTCTTGGCTGAAGTCTTTTCATCATCACCATCTTGTTTCTGGGTTATGATGGTGTTTGTCTCTGCCCATCGGGAACGCGTATCCTCCATCTTCTCTGTGCTGTTTTGTAATTTAATGAAGAATAAAACAGTTTTTCATCAAATAACCAGAAACATCACAGACTCGTTATCTTATCCTCTGGTGTCGGTGGCCCCTCAGAGGGTTTCTTTTGGTTAAATATGGGCCTGGCGGGGTGGGCGTTTCTTTAATTGTGGGTCCACGAGGGTTTGATGTTTGTTATTGTGATTGAGCCGAATGTAACGTGGCTGTTTGATGTGTTCAGCGCTTCTGTACAGAGTCAGATGGGAAGAACGTTCTTCAGTGTTTGAAGCAGAACAAGAACAGCGAGATGATGGATCCCAAATGCAAGCAGATGATAACTAAGCGACAGATCACCCAGAACACAGGTACACACACACACACACACACACACACACACACGCACACTATTTAGAATAAAGCAGCTCAAGTCTAAATAAGCCGAGGTGGGAGAACAGATGAAGTGTTGCTTGTTAGCATGAGATCAGATTTTCATCTCTTATGCGTTTGTTTCCAGACTACAGGCTGAACCCGGTGCTGAGGAAGGCCTGCAAAGCCGACATCCCGAAGTTCTGTGACTCCATCCTAAAAAAGGCCAAGGATGAAACCGAGCTGGAGGGTCAGGTCATCTCCTGCCTCAAACTTAAATACGCTGACCAGGTGAGAGCCACGGCTGACTTTACCAAACCAGAGTGTTAGATTAGTTTCACACCTCACATCCAGGTTTTACTACTGGCTCTAGGGACGCTGCTTCACTGAGCAAAAACATTCAAACTGATTTTATTTCAACAAATATGAACCTGTAATTTATTGGTTTCATCTGTTAGGTGTTGATCATACACTTACAACTAAGAATAGTTGGGTCGGGGGTTATTCTGCTCATTTCTGTACTTTTATTCTTTGTCTCCAGTGAAGCAGCTTTAGTGCAGCTCCTCGGTTCATCCTCTGACTGAGACTAGCTGTTTAAGTCCCTCCCCCTTAAATCAGCTTTCTTCTTATTGGTTGCCTATTGTAAACAGAAGGTTTGAACAACCTCTATACCTGTGGCATTATTTCTGATATGTCTTCATTGTCTGGGATCATCAGGATCTGAGCTTTTGGCTGCTGAATAATTATTTGAAACTTCAGAAATGTTTAATTTGAGCAACCCCGGATCTGCAAGAGAGTTTTGCTCTCTATCCACACAACTTTTAATCAATCATAATAAGATGAGAAGCGTTGGTGAGTCCGCCTGTAGATGGTGAAGGAGTTATTTGTGGAATAAAAGTTTATTTTTGTGTGTGTGGCAGCGTTTGTCTCCTGACTGCGAGGATCAGATCCGGGTCATCCTGCAGGAGTCGGCGTTGGACTACAGACTGGACCCTCAGCTGCAGATCCAGTGTGCAGAAGAGGTTTGCTGCTCTCCACTTTCACTGTGACACACACAGTTTATTCTTCCCATCACTCCATCCTAACTCAGGTGTTCATTTTGTGCCCGAGCACATGCGTCATAATTATTCTTATTGGGTAAATATTTAGGAATAAAAACGGCTGGCATTCACTGTGATGTAGTCATGTCTCCAGCAGGAGGTGCCAGCTGCTTGGTAATAAATTACTGCACAGATATCAGCGGTACTTTACGTTCTACTTGCTTCTGGGTTCTGTTGGATCATTTAGAGGGGGGAAACATGGATATGACTTTCCTGTGCACCTTTACATTTGAAGGCATGCATGCAAAAAGCAGCTAAATATGTTCATGAAAACAACACAAGTGCTAAAAATAAAGAGTAAAAATATGAATCTCTTTCATGCACACGTGTCGCTCCTACGCTTCGTTCTGTCAGAAGATGTCGAACAAACGATGACTGGATCGTGACTGAGGCAACAGATTTAAGAGAGAAATATCATCAGAGTTTAAAAATATGGATTATTGAAGCGCTGCTGAGAAGCCAGAATGTGACTCACAGTGAGCAGGCAGGAGCTCAGAGGGGCTCTGACAGCATTAATGGCTTTTTATTGATTATTGTGTGTTTGCAGATCTCCAGTCTGTGTACAGAGGAGGCAGCAGCTCAGGAGCAGACAGGACAGGTGGAGGAATGTCTGAAAATCAACCTGCTGAAGCTCAAGAAGGAAGGATGTAAGAAGGTAAAACGAGCTCACCGCTGCCTTCACTGACCACTCAGACAAACAGACCATCATTTGGATTTCAGTTTCAGCTGTAGACGCAAAGTAACCGTTTCTTTTATTGTTTCATTTTCATTTACAAACTCTTATTCTTATGATAGGAATCAAGCTTACCTCTTTGAGTTACAGTGATGTAACTGTGGCTATTTTCTGGCATCAATGTTTAAATGAATCTTTTATAAAGAAAAGGAGGAATCGCACTACAGACACTCTCATGATCCTTTCTTTCTAGAAGCTTTTCTAACAACACATTTATGCTCCTCCTCTCCCGCTCCCTCCTCTCCCACGCTGACCCCGCAGGAGGTGTTGAACATGCTGAAGGAGAGTAAGGCGGACATCTATGTCGACCCCGTCCTTCACACGGCCTGCGCTCTGGACATCAAACACCACTGTGCTGCCATCCCACCTGGCAAAGGACGCCGTGAGTCAAACTCACTCAGAAGTCATGTGACTCAGACACGAAAAACAAACGTCCCACTTTTTATTTCAACGACTGGCTGCTATTCAGCGGCCGTCAGAACAAAAGAAGGGCAAACTTTGCATTGCAGGAGTCAGCAAAATTAATGTTATTTATTTTTAATCAGGTAGAGAAAAGGTAGCAGAAACAAACTGCTTCTTCTGCATAATACACAGAAACTACAATCCCCATCCAAATTCTGTTTGTCTTTCAGTTTATTTATATCTAATGGAAGTTTTGTGTCCCATCAGAAATGTCGTGCCTGATGGAAGCGCTGCAGGACAAACGTATCCGTCTGCAGCCCGAGTGCAAGAAGAGACTTCAGGATCGCATCGATATGTGGAGCTACGCTGCCAAGGTACACTCACCGAGCAGGGAAACACCTGTGACACACGTGCGCACATTTGAGGAGGGTGGAGGTCTGCAGGTGCTATCAATCAAGTTCAGCATAACCAGGACCGAGTTACATGATTTGGCTTCACTTAATCTATCGCAGGATCTTCCAAGAGTGGGAGTGCTATTTTCCAGAGCTCTGACTGGTGGTGATTTTGTATGTCTTGCTCTCTTATCGTCACATTACCTGCTCCAGAGTAAGTTAGGCCTGCAGCATAGGTTGCTATGTTAGTGGTCATTAAAACCAGCTTTAGGTTTAAACGTGAAAACACAAGATTAAACCTGAAGTTGTCGCCTTTGACCTTTTTGAGTCAGTTTTAAGAGACTTTTATTTTGAAATTGATTACTTTAATTCAACATGCTTTTACCTCATAATTGGGCGATTGAACACATTTTTATTTTTTATTGAAATATTTTTGAATAAGTAATTTGCACAAAAGTTTAAAGGTGCTTTTATTTTCCCTCTGAAATGACGCAGGCTTTTAATTGTCTTTCTCTCTGCCGTCCACCAGGTGGCACCTGCTGAGGGACTTGGGGACTTGGCCATGCAGGTGATGACATCGCCGTCCAAGAACTACATCCTGACCGTGATCTGTGCCGGTGTGGCGCTGCTCTTCATGATGGGGCTGTTCTGCGGCAGGTTCACCAAGCGAGTCACTCAGGAGCTCAAGGACAGGTAGACTCCGCCCCCCCCTCTGGGGTCAGGACATATTTAACGACCGCAACTGAAAAAGACCTCCTCGCCATTTCACCCCTGATGCTCCTGAAAGTCCGCCGCATCGTCTTTACTTTCCTCCTGCAAGCTTTTTCACCCTCTCTCACAGCTGGGGGCATCTACATGGGAATGACATTACCCACAATCCTAGCTGTCAGAGATTTTCACACATTCTTATCTGATATATCTGGAGGGGTTTTTTGTTTGTTTTTTAACTCTTTCTCTTTTTGCTGTTGGTTTAAGGGGCAAGGATAGGGAGGGGAATTGGTAAGAATGTGGGGTCGGAGGTCAACGGTTATAAGTCAAGGTGAAAAAATGAAATGCGTAGGTGTAAATGTGTAGAATGCAGGGTGGGCAAATGCTCATGTGTAATAGAGCAGTTTAATGACTCCAGTATTTTATTGATAAGAGTGTGTGTTGCTGTGAAGGTATGTGTGTGTGTGTGTGAGTGCGAGTGTGTGTTGCTGTGAGGGTGTGTGTGAGATCCAAACTGTCTTTATGCCGCCAGATTGTTTTCTCCTTCTGCTTGAACAGGTTTTTGGAGTTTATTACACTTTTTCCCCCCCTTCCTTTTTTTGTGCTGATTCATATTAGATTTTATCGCCAAGGGACTGCCAAGTGGGCGGTGCCAGCCAGCCCTCGACCGAGCCACAGATAAAGAGGCGAGGGTGGGGCCACAGAGTTGCACCTCACACACTTTGGCCAACTCGCTACAACCGGAATCGCTTGTGGTTATTTTACTTGGGTTTTTTTGTTTGTTTTCTCCAGATGGAGAAACCTCATCAATCCGGTGTCTTATTTTCCCACAGCACAGCCTGTGTCATAAATGCACCGTGTGTCTCCACCTGCTGCTCCCATCATTGCCATCTCGGGTGGGATTTTTTTTAATTTTTTTTTTTAAACATCACTCTGCTCAGACTGGGATGGAAACCAGACGTTTTGATTGCCGCCCATCGCCGCGCAGAGTGGCTGTCGGTTTTGTGCTGGTTGGCACGAAAAAGCTGAGAAGCAATGCAGGAAAAAAATAAAGACAAAAAAGAAACGATTCTAGATTACTATAGAGATGTGAACATTTTTGTGTAAAAATGATACTGGAATCATTGCACATCTTTCGTTCTTTTTTCTTTTTTTAAATATCTATAAATATATATATATTGTTTTGTCATAGCCTTATTTATTTGTTTACTTTGTTTTTTTTTTCATCTATGATTTGAATGTTCTCTGGTTGCCTTTTCTCCAGCGAGACTCCCTTCTTCCTGCAGGGGGGGTGGGAGGAGGGAGAGGAGAGGCAGGGCGGGGGGAGGCAGCAAAGGTGTGAACACCTCCAGGTGTCGAACTCCTTGAGGAACTAGTGGATTTTCACGTGGGACAGTGCGGATTTTGAAATGCATGCCTCCAGCTCCGTGTTTTTATTCTTGGGCTTGACCAGAGTCACTTTGCATGATTCCTGGTTCCAAATAATCTTTATTTGCTTCCTACTGGTTGACTGTTCCTCCTAAGAAAGAGGTCTGAGCAGCAGATGGGGTAAGGCTTGTGTGCCTGAGATGACCGGATTAAGGATATCTTCTCTTTTTCTCTCTCTCATCATACAGATCCAGGATGTAGAGCAGCCTGAAGCCTGAGCTTTCCAGTTATTGTACATACACTGGCCTCGTTATTAGAAACATTGTAATTTTTTTTTTTTTTTTTTTTTTTTTTTACATGAACATCCATCAGTTCAACAGAAGTTGTGTAGGTTCACCTGAGGCAGTGTCGAGCAGCAGAATGCAGTTCCGCCATTGTCAACTTGATGCCGACTCCAGCATGAGTCAGTGTTCAAGGTTACCGCAGAAATAAAAATGTTTAAAGCTTGTCACAAAAATCATTTTGATCTCTGTAGATGGTTTCTCCTTCATAGCTGCACTCTGGGTAAATTCATTCGTAGCTCACCTGGTCCGACTTTGTGAAGACTTAAAGTTAGGCGTGAGGGTGCTTTGAGGGTGTGCCGACACTGGTAACTAATTGGAATCACTGAGCTCTGGAACGTGTTTCGGGTGTCTTCTCCTTTGATGATGATGATGATGATGATGATAATGAATATGACTTTGACGTGCAGGTAATTCTTCTAACAAACCATCCAACAGGTCTCTGCTTTAGTAATCGTGGCATTGTCTTTATTTTTTCGCTTGTTACTTGCCACTAATGACTCTGTTACTGTAAAGTTGTCTCAACAGCATTTAACAAAGCATGAGATATTGCCAGGTGCATACCAGTTTTTACCACGAGATGGGGCAACAAGGCAAGAGATTAAGAGCATGTTCTTAGTCTCTTAAGGGAAGGCAGAAACATTTCAGTACACCCCCTGGAAGAATTCTGCCCCCTGGTGGTGAAAGTGTTACAAATGTTACCTTTAACACTAACTCGCAGGTTATGCACACTCACACAGTTTACAACTCTCCCCTCTCGTCCAGATACGGTCACTCTGGCTCTGTAAAAGCATATACACAGACATATATAGTTTCTGTAGGTTCTGTAGAGGAGGACGGATTGCTCGGAGGGCGTGTTTGCGACGCTCAGCCTGCAGGTCGATGCCCGAGGAGGCGTTCAGTCTCATATAAACACGTGTGAGCAAACACTAAATCGAGGGCCTCTCCTCTCCCTGCGTGAGCTGATCACATGTGTATGATACTGAGTGACGATAACTTACTGTAAACTACATGTACCGTTCCCCTTCTAACTGTTGAAGCTTGGCGTGGTGAGCGCTGCCCTCTCTGCTTGTAAATGAGACGTTCTGCTTCATTGAAATGCCTTTTTTCCATCAGATTTTGTTTGTTTTTAAATCGAAGTGTGCCTAACCGCCGTCCCGCTGTACAGGACATCCCAGACGACCTGTTGCACCCAACAGAGGGTGACGTGTGGCGTATTTGACCGATCTTTTTGTAAAACTCTCTTGTTTGTTTGTTTGAATCCATTGAGCTCCTGATTGGTTTGGGGTTTTTTTGTCCACTTTTTTTCTTTTGTTGTTGTTGTACAGATGAAAAATTGGACAGTTTGTTAATGATAATAATAAAGTCTGCAAGGTTTCTACTCCACTGTTTCTTTATTTCACGTCCGGCTCAACCAGAATTTACGCTGTGAAATGTAATATCTGTACATGTGGTAATACTTGAGCCCTGCACTAAAACATGTAGTGCTTTTTTTGTGCATCTATATAAACTTTGAGGAAATGTTTGATTCCAAGTGGGACAGATGTTTGTTTCTACAGTGAGGTATTTGTGTGACATCTGGATGTAAATGAATAGGAGCCAGAGCGGGTGTCCATGTGTATGGCATATATGTGTCTGCTTTTATAATATGGAAAAATTGAGATTTGCTAAAAATGCACTTCGGTTGCTGAAGTGATATTTATGTGGCATCAATGAGTAAGTTTAAGATGCCTTCAGAACAGACCCTTACATTTAGGAAATAAGTTTCCTATTCTTTAGGTAATTATGGTAAAACTTTTCTTTGTTTTCACATCAGTTTGTGGGGCTTCAGCTCAGTTTTTTTGAAGCTCAAAAAAAAATCCCAATTTAATTTTGAAAGGTTAAAAGTTCTCATCTTAAACCGCTGTGTCCAAAAATCTGCGTGTAGTGTTGGAAGAGACCAGCTCGAGCAAAGTGTGGATCGGGCTGTACTTGCATGTAGTTCCAATTTGTACCACAAGGTGGCCCAACTATTTAAACTAGTGTTTGTGTAACCAGGCACATCATTAAAAACACTTTATATACCACACTGCCTCGGAGACAAATCAACGCCTCGTGAGACTAAAACTGTCCTCTGTGGTTGAAAGTTTGAGTTTGCAGTGGGCGATCACAAAAAATCAAAACCATGTGGTGGCGTCCTTCGTTGTCAGACTGCAGCTCTCAAGCAAAATCCCGTCAGTGGCCTCAAACATCAACATGCAGACAGTTGCAGTGCTGTGGCTTCACTCTCATCTCCAACTATAGACTCTCTCGGTTGCTTGCTGCACAATGTAGTACAAAGTTAAGCCCCAAAACGTGAATGAATGCAGTGAAACTTCCTCTGAATTAAAGGACATGTTTTGCGGTTGTGCAAACTAAATCACACACAGTACCTTTTACGTTACAGCCCACCATTGTTTTAGGCGTTTCGCTGTAATCTGGCTTCCCCTCTGCAGCCTGCGGCTCCAGTGTTTTTCACTCTGGTCTTTCCGCTTCTATTTATAAACAGCACTCGCTCCATTATCCAGAACAATAGACCTTCACTCACAGAATGAAATGGTGCACAAAAGCCGGAGCGCCCAACAGTCATGCAGCCATGAATCCACCCGCTCTTCCTTCAAACTGGGTGGGGCCGAGCACTGTCTAAACTGAAATACTGGGTGACATCACCTGTGTGTGCATCAGTGAAGGCCTGAACGAACACATCCAGGTGCTTTGATACACTCTCACAACTGAGAGTAGATCTTTACTTCCCCTACGAACAGTTTTCTTCTGACTTTCACACTAAGCTTTATTAGGTGGGGCAACGTTTTAGGCGGACATGGATGTACCTGAACCATGAAAACGAAGTATTTTGAGTGCCTAACTCTATCCTGCAGATGAACCTGGAAGCAAAGAGCATAAAGGTCAGAGTGGGATGTGAATAAGCGTGATAGCCTTAAACTTGCTCTGCCTAGTTTCCCTCCCTGACACAGGCTTGTGAGTCGTCAGTGGTGGACCACTTTTCCTGAAACACTGATATCTTTTCTAAAACTCTCCTGAACAAACCTGGCTGATGTGAGGTGCGTGACTCTCGAGCTTGGCGGTGTTTTGATTCGTGGTGACTTCCTTGTTGTTGCTAAGCAGCATTCATCTGGCCATTGCTGCAAAGACTAACAGCATTTCCACGAGGACAATAGATGTGATTTACGTATTTTCTCAATTTACTGAGCATTTCCTCATCTTTGCATTAAACTTGCTAAAACTACAATAACCAACTGCTTTGAATTAATGAGACCTTTAAAACCGCCTGCATATTTCTGGAGAGTTTTTGATACGTTACTAAGCTGAGACCACAACAAAGTACTTAAAGATGTGAACGTATGAAGTGATTCCAATTAAACTAAAGGGGGGAAAATAATCAAATGCAGGGAACGTTGTATTCCATCATGATATTCCCCTTGTCTCATGGTGGGGTTGATCTGGCAGTGTGGATGCTTCTCCTCAAACATCCGTGTTCTGCGCTGTGCTCTCTGTACTCTGTGAGACTCTCTGCAGGCATGCAGGGTAAACATACATGTCTGCGTTTGTGCTGCCTGTTTTTATGTGTTCTGTCTGACCCGTGGAGGCTTCGGGCCGTCTCGCAGAGCCGTGTTAAATTCTTCAGCCCTGCAGACCCAAACACATGGAAGTCATAGACTGCACAAAAGACAAACTACAGTTTATGTTTTTAACATTTCAAGACAAAAAACATACCTTCCATTATTTACAGCTTTTAACTTGGCACATGTTAAAGGCTGACGCGATGTCGAGGTAAATGTGTTTATTCTGTAGTTTGGGGAAAATCATAATACAAAGTTTGCGAACAGTATCAGCAAAGACCTTGAAGTTTTAATACAGAGTAAAAATGCTGAGCCTGCACAGCCACGGTGTATCAGCACCTCTGATGACGTTATCAGGTAAATCACCGCAGGTTTTTCCAGAATCCTTCACCTTGCAAAGCCTGATGAATCATGAAATAATTGCCATATAAATTATTTTACTTTATTCCATTCAGCGTTTTGGGGCAATTTATTTAGGAACAAAAATCGTCACACTGATGATGTAGAGGTCTCAAAAACTCATGTCAAATACGTTACAGGGTTAAATGCTTCTCAGTATTTGAATCATTGGAAAATCCAATAAAACGATTGCTTAGACAATTTACAGACGGTTAGATGTGCTAAGCTGCGTTCGGGGTTAAATGATGTCTTTTCATTATGCTGGATACATTTTTATGGTCTTACAGAGCTTCAAAAATGTTTTATGAAGGGAACATTTAGCTAACTCGTTCCCAGAAGACAATATCTCGTTCCAGGTGTTCTCATTTCCCACAAGAGAATAACTTCTTTTCACAATACAATTACCCTTAAAAACAAAATCACACCAATACCTCCTGAGAACAAGATAATGAACTTGTTCCTGGAATTCATTTAACTTGTTCAAATGGCGGATAAAAGTTTCTTATCTCCTGCACACAGCTGGTTCCCTGAAGTAGTTTGATTCCTGCACACGAGTGAAGCTTGAGGTTTAGTTTGTCATCGCTGAAGTCAAGGTTGCTATCATGTGGTTAAAGTTAGGAAACAGAGTCACTGTTTTCATGAGATCCACAACATCCTCAGCACAAGAAAATATTAAAACACAAAATGCCTCATTTTTCTTACAGAGTTTGAGAAAACAGAACTTTTGAATAAGTGATGATATCAGCTTCAGTTGTTTGAACATGTTACAGAAACCTTTGTGCTTCCTTTCATGTTCATTTAGCTCAACTAGCTGGGTTAGGCTCCTGACCTGAATCAGTGGAAGTAAGAGGATGGATGGTTGAATGGATGCGTTGTTTATGGTTTTTATTGTTCCAGTGAATGGACTGGAAAACAATAACCACAGTTGTAAACATAAAAAAACAAATGTGGGCGACACATCCCTGCATGTGTTTTAAAATTGAACTTTGACCTGTAGTTTTTCAGAGGTGATGGAAGGACTTTCTCAAACATATAATTTGCGCAACCTTTAATTAACTGGTTTGGCTGAATTTGTGCTCCAGTTCGCTGACTTTTGTTTTGCGTCCAGGGTCACTGAATTTCCTCATTTCCAGCTCCATATTTTAATGATGGCATCCGTAGAGTAGCTCTATATGACTGAAGGAAGGTTTTGTATAAACATGTGTGTAAAAAGCAGTATTAAACCTTTTAATATGAACTAAACCAATAAGGAGAATGTACAGGTTGTACTCTAACATCCATACTTAGAATGGCGCACTAAGTAGTGCCAGTGTAGCGTAGCATCCTAGCAGTCTAAGTCCAAGTTAGTGTTAGCTTTCTACAGAAGTGTATGGAAGCCCGTTTCCGCCACTAAAAAAAAAAAAAAAGCTAGTA